GTCCAAGCTGACGTATAACTAACTGGCCTGCATAAGATAACGGAAAAACCCGACAGATTTTAAGAATGGTTAAGACAATTTTTTTTTTTTAAAGAAATATTTTTTTATTTAATATCATCTGATAAAGAGTACATTTATATACATGTTTAAGCCAGAATGATTTGACATTTAAATATGACTTCCCTACGACTTTAAATAAGACTTAGACATTTATTTCAGTTGCCAGCAGAGATGAAATGGAATTCTAGCCCGCTGACTGGAACTAAACTAACCTCCTCGAGGCCCACATTTTGACTCATGCAAGGACATGGACACAGCTTTAGGCTCTTTTGGTCCAAAAACTCCTGGGCTGATGCTGTGCTGCAGATGCCTGGCAGAAAAAAAAAAGCTTTTAGTTTTAGTGACATAACAGCCAATGCGTGTGGCAATTACATTTTTCATGCATTTTCTAATTGTTGTCTTGCATTAACTGAGAAAACGACTGTGGGGTGATTAAATGGTAAATATCCTTTACTGATATAGGTTGGCTTACAGGAGGAGGGGAAAAATGTTTGATAATAAACCAGTGATGCACACTGCACTCTTTAAGGGGTGCTGACCTGATCACCTGTGTGGGGTGACCAAACACAAAGTAACACTTGACTGTCAAGTGGAAGGAGAACGATCCATTTTTTTCAACAATCTTAATCCAGACCTAAAACCTGAAAATTGTGTCGTCCATTTTGTTTAACTCCCTACCCAATATTTTGTAAAACCACTGTTTTCTAAGCTAAAGAGAGATCCCCACAGACCACCACTTCCATCAATCCTGCTCCCCGACATCTGCTCATAGGAAAACAAAACGGATAAATTCAGACTCGAACTGTCTTCAAAAAATTAGATATGTAACTGCTGCGCTATTATTCAAACGGAGTCTGCAGAGCCAGCAGTACCGGACGGTGCTGTTGGCCTGCAGGAGCTGATACTGTACCGTGCCAATAGAAAACAAAGAGCTCTGCGTGAATGGAAACTCCTCTGAGACTGTTCCCAGGCAATCTTCGGCATCTAGTCGGGGAAGCACAGTCCTCTGCAGGTGAAATTGAGAATACTTGCCTGCCAAATGCTGAAACATCCCTGAAACATCCCCAGCCAGCTCTTCCGGGCCTCCTCCAGCTTCCACACCTTCTTCAGCATCGTCTGTCGTAGATAAACCTGCCAATGGCACCACTGCTGCTTCAAGCACGTCAGCCTCTTCAACCCAGGGGGCTACCACCCTCACAGCATCATCATCATCATCATCGTCCTCTTCCTCCCCTGAGCCAGGAGAAGCGAGTTCTTCAGGAGCTGGAGGCAGTAGTAGCAGCTCAACAACAACTGCTGCTTACCTTATCAAGGCTGCGCTTTGAAAACTGAAATTGTCTAGAAAGCTGTTCTAAACGAAATTTCTTTTTGTTACACTTGTGTAACAAAATGACATAATTAATCTGTCAAAGTATAAGTCTTTGCTTATACTGTATCAATAAGCTTAAAGTTGTAGGGAAATCAAATTTAAATGTAAAATCATTCTGGCTTAAACTTGTGTATAAATGTATTCTTTATCAGACGATATCGTCCCAAAATTGAGAAAATTTCTACTTTACTTTAAAAAAAAATCTTAAAATCTGTTTTTTTTTCTCTCATTATTTTATGCAGGCCAGTTAGTTATACGTCAGCCTGAACACATAAATTCGGCCAATCATATATCAGCTCAGCCACTGCCTCATTGCTGTTATCACCACAGTCATCATAAAGTCGTCTTGTCTCAGAGCTTGGTCAGCTGTTTTGCATTGCGAATAATCCCCATTGCCGCTTTTATTTCCAGGCTGCTGATCTGGCTATTGTATTTCCTTCCTCCTTGTCGATTTTCACCTTTTAAGGGCTGCCTTCTGACTTTTGGTCTAGACTGCTTCTCGAACTGTTCAACGTTATCTTAACTAAAAATACTGGTGGTGGTTTCAAAACTCATTCATATCCTTCATCAGATCTGAATGTTTGATTATTTCAGTTGTGTTTATAACCCATTCTCATCACTCAACTCTCTCCTGTAATCCGTCATTCCAGATGGTTTTTTACCAGGCTCCCTCCTATCATTCATCCTATCATTCATCCTATCATTC